TGGGTCCCACAGAAGGCAGATCAGAGGTCTCTGCAGCTGCAGCTGCTCTAGTCTATCAGAAAGTTCTCTAACAATGCATGTGAAGCTTCTTCAGAAGCAAGACTCCTCGAAAAGAACCACTGGAGATTAAGCCCTTCAACAGCAGGCTGATTAATGAGATCTCCAAGTAAGACCAAAGAAATTTCCAAACTGACAGAGATGCAAGTTTTAGCTCTGAAACAAAATCAGTGTGAAAGAGCCAGGCAACATGATCCCCAAAGACAAAAATTCTTCAACCACCAAATTCAAAGAAGCTGAAACAGGCAAAGTGCTGAATGAAGATTTCAAAAGTGTACCAGTAAAATCCATTAGTTGCCTGAAAGAAAATAGAAACAAGCAGATGAATTTAATTGAAGGCCTAGAAAGAAAAGTCAGCAAAAAAAAGATGAGAAAAAATCAACAATATGGATAAAAATGGAAGTAATATGGGGAAAAACTACCTAGAAAATTGAAATTTGGGGAAAACCCAATCAGATAGAAGGGTTGGACATGAAAAACTCAATGAACCAAATAAAAACCCAGTGGAAAACATCACCAATAATAGACTCAGCCAATCATAGGACAGAACTACACGCTGGAGGACAATGTCAAGAAAATACTATATTTAAACACCAATTAAGAAATAAAGTGAGATGAGGTGTGTCAGTCACACACTTGGGAGGCAGAGGCAAGCAGATCTCTATGAATTTGAAGCCAACCTGGTCTACAGAGAGAGTTCCAGGACAGCCAGGGCTACACACAGAAACCCTGTCTCAAACAAAACCATATATATATATATATATATGTATGTATATATATGTATATGTATATGTATATGTATATGTATGTATATGTGTGTGTGTGTGTATATACATATATATATATATATATATATATATATATTTCTTCATGGTCTCCCCTTCACCTGGTCTCCCCTTCACCTTGGCTTCTCTCAGTGATGGGCTCTAAACCAAATAAACCTTTTGTCCCCAAGTTGCTTTGGTCAGGGTGTTTTGTCTCAGCTACACAGAAGCACACTAATAATGAATGAGCATTGCCACAGCATCCAGGATATCTGGAATACATTAAAAGAACAAATCTGCAAATTCATGAGGTAGAAAGAACTGAGATGAAAACCAAAGGCAAAGAAAATCTACTTAATTAACTTATAGCAGAAAAATTCTCAAATTTAGACAAACAAATGGACATCTCCATTAGTTATGTTTTATTGCTATGAGGAAACACCATAACCAAAAGCAACTTAAGGAAGACAGTTTGTTTTGGTCTGTGGTTCCAGGGGGAAAGGTCATATGGCAGGAAAGGCATGGCACCAGACAACCAGAGTAGGAAGGTGATTAATCACGTGTCCATCCTCATGAAGGAAGCAGAGAGAAGACATTGAAGTGGGTCAAGGCTATGAACTCTCAAAGCCTACCCCCAGAGACATAACTCCTCCATCAAGGCTACACTTTGTAAAGGATTCGTATATTCCCCAGTGCCACCAAATGGGGATCAAATGTTCCAAATATGTGAACCTGTGGGGGACATTTCTCATTCAAACAGCACCACATCCAAACACAGAAGGCATTTAGAAACCCAAATAGAAATGACAAAAGAAAAAGAGTCTCTCTACCACATTCATAGTCAAATGTGAAAAATACAAAGTAAAGAAATGATATTAAAGGCTATAAGGGAAAATGTCAACTCATAGCAAAAGCAAAAGCAAGCACATCAGTAACGTCAGATCTCTCACCATCACCCATAAAAGCCAGCACAGCATGGAACATGCAGGGCAATGTATCTCAAGCCCTGGAAGTCAATAACTTCCTGTCATGAGTATATATCATGACAACCATGCCAGAACTACAGAAGATACTTAAAGGAGAGTTTCAATTATGAAAGCCCAGAAAACAATAAAATTAATGGGAGGAATCTGAACAAAGTGGGCTAAGTTGGAATCTATTGTGTCCCATATAGTAAACCAGTAACCTTTTCATGCTAATACAGAGTAAATAAAAGAACAACTACATAGAAAGCCAGAAAACTCCCAGAAAAACGTAGGATATTAGTAAATATCCCTGATAATTTTAAGTATAAATAGCCCCAATTCAGGAACAAAAAGAAGCAGACAAGCAAAACCTAAATCCAGGCTGGGTGTGATGACACATGTCTTTGATCCCTGCTCTTGGGAGGCAGAAGCAGGCTGATCTCTGTGAGTTTAGGGCCAGCCAGGTCCACACAGTGAGTTCCAGGCCATTCAAGAATACATAGTGAAACTCTGTCTCAAAACACAAGCCTAATCCAGTTCTCATCTCTAAGAAACATGTCTCCCTGGTAAAGACATCACAGGCAGACTTGAAGGATGGTGTACAATCTACTGAATGACTGGAAGCTGTGAACTAGGTGGTCTGGGATCAGCTAATCATCAAACTGGCATTAGTAAGAAGAGATATAGAAGATATTAATATTACATATTAGTAAAGGGATCAATTCATCAAGAAGACATAACAATACCAAGTATACATGGATTAAATATTTAGACTCTCTATTTCATAAGATGAATACTAAGGGAAATAAAGTATCTGACAGGTCTTGATACAGGAATAGTGTAAACAGTGACACCAAAACCAGAACACACTTTCTATTCAGGAGTTCCTGGAACCTACCTCTAATTTAGATCACATCCCAGGTTATAAGTGTCTTTGTTTTAAACAAAGTTAAAACCAAACTTTTTGTGTAGCAATGTAGTTCACAAATTAATAACACCATAACAGAATGATTTGGTATAATTTCAAACAGAAGAAGATGAGGTACAATTTTTATAAGTGAACCAATGTAATAAAAATATTCAATGATGCATCATGTCTCATTTTTGCAGGCTATCTTTTGCTGTCTGCCACTCCTCATAGTGTGAGTGGCATGTGCATACACACACATGTGGACACACACACACACTAAATACATAAAATGTAAATTTTTTAGAAAGATATTTTGTAAAGAGTATTCAACATTCCTGGGTGTGGTGGCACACTCAGTCTTGTAATACTGGAAGTGGAAACAGAAAGAGTTCTAGGTCATCTTTGGCTACATCAGCATTTAATTCACTCTGGACTACACAAGATCCTTTCTCAAAAATAAAATAAGTAAAAAATGTTCAATATCCTTAGGCCTTAGAGAAACACAAATGGAAACTTCTATGATATCCCATCACATCTCAATCAAAAGGGCTAATATTAGCAAATGCTAGCAAGGATGCGAAGAGAGAGAACATCTTTTATTTGCCCATTGTAAAGACTGCAAACCAGTGGGGTCACTATGAAACTCAGTATGGAGGTTTCTCAAAATCAAAAATCAGACCAACAATGTGACCCAGCTATCTGTCCTTAGACATTTCCCTAAAGAACTAATCCCTGCTACAGAGCTACTTGCTTATCTATGTTTATTGCCAGAAAACAGACCCAGCCTCTAGGTGTCCATTAACAGATACATAGATAAAGAAAATGTGGTGCATATACATAGTGGAATTTTATTCAATGGACCCTAGGTTTTCTTTTCTATTTTTGCACATATGTGTACATGTGTATGGAGGGTTAATATAGGTCATGAAACTAGAGAGGGGACCATGAAAGGGGGAAGGGTGGTCCTAAGAAAATGAGGAAGAGAGTAAAGATGGACAATAGAGTACATGTGTCATGAGAGTAGAATGAGGACTATTCAGAGCAGGAAGTGAGTGGGAGAGGCCAGGGACAGGGCAGTGGAGGAGGAGCATCAACATAAAGTATGCATGAAAATATGATCGTGAAACCCGTTACTTTACATGATAATTTAAAGAACAGACACCTAGATGAGTAAGTTTAAAAGGTAGAAAAGCACTACATTCAGAGTAGCCACCCAAAGAGTTGACAGTGTTCTGATTTCTTCACCACCCATCTAGTGTACAGAAGCACCCAATTCCAGTCTGCACCCAGGCTGGCTCCCACCATTCCTTTTAACTTGTGCCAATCTGATAAACACGGATGTATCTCTTCCTGCTCATAAACCTTTGATTTTTGTTGAGGGAGAACATTGTATGCTACCACAGATACCACTGGGTTTTATGGGTTGTGCCCATTTCTCTCTTGATCAGATTTTGTAAAAATTACTGATTTATAAGTCCTTGAAAGCATTTCTATAATGAGCATATCAATGTGTTGTGGTTCATTTTCAACTCTTGCCCCACTCCCCGTCCCCTAAGTTCTCTTGAACAGAACGTAGGTGGATCTATCCTATAGGACTTTTAAAGTTTATTTTAAGGTTTTATTTTATTTATTTATATGTATGTGTGTATATCTGTCTGTTCATATGAGTATGTGTATGTGGGTACCCTCATAGGCTTGAGATCCCCTAAAGCTGGAGTTGCTGGTAGTTGTGAGCCACCAGGCACAGGTGTTGGAAACCAAACTCAAGTCCCTTGCAAGACCAGCAAGTGCTGTTAACACAGCCATTTCACTAACTTCTATCCTTTATTTTTTTTAACTGAAATAATAGCCAGTATTTGTTACTGCCCAGTTCTTTGAAGTATAGCAGTGTAATAAATAAATGTTTCTTTTTTAAACTAAAATAATAATGCTAGGTAAAGCACAGTATTTGTTGTTTTTATACATATAACTTGGAGCTTTAAGCATACTAAGCACACAGTATACTACTGAGCTACATATTTCAAGCCCTAGAAATGGTATTTAGAACATCCACAGCAATATTTGACAAGAAGTTTGTCTTTATCTCAACACTCACATCCACTCAGGAAAACCAGGTAAGGCGTCCAGGATCTATAAGGCCTTGCCACATCTTTCTGATAATCCCGCAAGGATTTAATATGAGTTCCAGGTCCTTACCACACTGTTGAATTCTAAGTGCACATGGGGGCGTGTGTAGGCAAGGATATGACTTAAATTCTCTGGGTTTGCTGAACAGAAATACTTGCTGCCCTTTGATTGGTCTCAATAAGTGTGGGCTGGTCTTTGTCAAGGTATCAAAAAACTGAGAGGTGCAAAGACCCCAGGCTCTCAGACCAGCCATCTACAATACTAGTAATGACTATGAAATTAAGAGTCTTCTGTCTTGTCCCCCTTCTTCTAGCCAGCTATGTGCAAACAACCCCCAAGCCGGAAAAGATGAAGGTGAGTAAGGTCCATAGCGAGTACAGCAGGACTGAACCTGGTCGCTCTTGTGCTCTGCTCCTAGAGCTTGCCCTTCAACTCTTCTTATAAGAGTCTCACCTCTGCCTTCTGCTCCTGGTGGTCACCCCCAAACCTTTCTTCTCCTCTTGAATGATCTTCACTTTTGTTAATAGGTGTCTTTGAGTGTTGTAAGGATGAGGAAGAAAGGATCCCCCAACAACGGTCCTTTCTCCACTACTTCTCCAAGCAGATGCCCCCCTACAAGACACATTATGTCACAGCAGGTCTGAGGGCAGAACTACCATGGTCATCCAGTAGGTAGGGGTTTGGAGAATGATTAACAAAGAAGGGCTTCTTTCTGAAAAACAAAAACAAACAAACAAAAAATGAATGTGGATTTTTAAGTATAAAGGGACACATATGGAGAAACCGTAGCCAGAGTCCTAAAGCAATTAGTTTTGGAGCTTCAGAGCACCAGGTGTCTGAGAATCTAGTCCTAGCTCTACTCCCAGTATGGAGCTCAGCTGCCTGATCAACAATCTCTGTCTTCATGGTGGTAGAAAAGACAGTCCACAGGAGGGCAGTAATTCACGAACTGATACTAGAAGCAATCAAACATTGATTCACACAATGGGACAGAACTTCTGGGGTACAAATTCTATCCATTCCTAATTCGTGGGTTATATTATTCAGCTTGGGTGGGAATCAAAAATCAATGTTCACATAATTTGGTCTATAAAAGGCTGCTCTGGGAAGACTTTCTCTTTAGAACTGACAAGAAAAGTTTCTGGGTAGATACAGTTTTATGTCACCCAGAGCTGCCTCAGTAGATGTGGAGACTCAGAGTTTAATAAAGGCTGGTCTGGAGTCATGGCCAGACTAACATTCAGACCCAAAATATTTGGAAGAGCAGAACAATCAACATCAAGAATAAACTGGACGGCTCAGCAGTAATGAATGCTTACTGCTCTTACAGAGGACCAAGGTTCAGTTCCCAGCACCTACAAGGTAGCTCATAACTACCTGTAATTACTTCTTCTCATCTCTGCGGGTTACTATGTATATACAATGTACATATTTACACTCTTAGGTATGTACACACACATACACATTAAATGAGAAATATCATTTTTAAAAGAAAAAAATAAACTGGAATAGCCTGGGCATGTTGGCTCACGCCTGAAATTAGGACTCAAGGAGCTGAAGCCAGAGATTTGCCATGTGTTTGAAGAACACCCTGGCCTAGATAAAATCAGACCATGCCTCAAATCCTCCCTCATTTGGATAGATAAGATGGACTAAAATGAGTCTTAAAGTTCAGAGTCTCTCTAAGATATTGTACTATAGTACTCAGCATGATTTTCATTGTCAAAGCTCCCGACCCACTTCCCCAAAATAGTATGGCTTGGAAGTAGGCATCAAGAAGGTGAAAATGGATGCTTTTGTATATGTTCTGCATATATGCCTGAGTATTGCTGAAGTGTGTGTGAGTGTGTGTGCATGTGGGCATGTGTACGTGGGTGAGTGCATGCATGCGTGCATGCTCATGCCTTCCCGCTCAGAATAGGACCTACAAACTCGGGTGCTAGTGATGGTATCTTCAATTGTAAAGGGTTGGAAATGCTGGACTTTGTTTTGCAGTATTTCTTCTCTGGGTGGGAGCAGATGGTGTTTAATAAGTCCTTCCCAGCACGGCATGTCCGGGAAGTCTGGCTGAATCCTTGTCTAAGTCCATCTTAATTGTCTGATAATGAAAGCCTGTTTGATTTTTATTTTTTTTTTTATTTTTTTTTTTTTTTAGCCAGCTCAACAGCACTTTCTCAGTCGATGATGGCATGTAGCTTTCTGTTCATGATTTTTATACTCCTTGTATTCCATGAGCAATTTATACCTGCCTTCCTAGCACAGTGAGTGCATCTGGTTGTGCTGGTGAGCATCCATCCATACACCTTCACATCTCAGGGACCTAGTTAAGGCAGAGACAGAAATAAAACTTAAGACCTTCCTCATAGAGAAATTCAATGTGAAGACATGCAATGAGAATTTCTTCTCAAATATTTTCAGAGGTGACAGGCTAGTCTGTCTCAATCTGAGATAGGCTTTAGGGCTCTCCATATCCTTTCTTGGCTCACACCCATAGTTTTTTCCCACAGTGTTGGCACATAAGAAAATCATATGAGTAAGAGAGTGAAAGAAAGAGAAATCTATTATGAAAACTGCACTAGATTCTATAATGACAAAGCTGGAGACTTCTTTGTTCTGTTTTATTTTGGAGAAGATGAGCTCTGAGGCCCATGGATGAGAGTTGCCCAGATTCACAGACACTCTGAATGGTAGATCTTATTCCAGGCTAGAGATCTTCCCATTTTATCATGTTCACGAGTGGAAGGAGAAGCCAAAAGACTTAGAGAAGAAGTAGCTAGGCCATCTTGAAGCATTCAAGCAATGAAAATCTGGCCTGCTTGGAGAGCAACCAGGCAGCGTGCCTTTAATCCATGGCTGTTCTCAGCCTCATTCTCACAAAAGCCAGGGTTCTTTTCCCTTCGATCCCATTTGCTCTTAGTTCCATTCAGTCTAATATGTCCACACATGGCCTTGTGTGTAACAGAAGAGTGACAGACAACCCACTTGCCACTCCTTTTCTCCACAAAAGCAATAGACTATACGTCAAGTCCCACTTTTCTGTTTTCCGATCTCTTACACAATTCTGGTTTGTTTTCTGACTCCCGGTTAACACTTCATTGTTCATGTATGCTGTGAATGATCAAACAGACATGGGGTCTTGTTGTTACTCTTAACAAAGCTTTCAAAATCCTTCCAGATGAATTGCTACAAAGATGTGAAAGGCACCATCTATGACTACGAGGCTCTCGCTATTAATGGGAAGGAACGCATTAAATTCAAGCAGTATGCAGGCAAGCACGTCCTCTTTGTCAACGTGGCTACCTATTGTAGTCTGACAATTCAGTACCCAGGTAAGAATTCAGAGCCATATGACTTTATGACAAAAATTTTCAGCTGACTATATTCTAAATTACATTGGGAATTTTATTCCAATTCTATATGTCATAGCAATTTATGTCATTCTCTGGTGTCTTAAATTGGCAAGCGATGGCCCACAGTCAAACCTAGTCAGTTTATTTTTGTAAGGGCTTCATTGGAGCACAGGATATCCTCACCTATGGCTGCTTTTGCATCCCAAGGCAGAAGTCAGTAGTTCTGTGGATACTGGTGATGGACAGCATGTGATCTGCAAAGCCTGGAACTCCATTCACCTCTCAGCAGAAGAAAAACAAAACTGCTGGTTCTGTCCTTAGGTAGGCCTGGTGTCCGCTTTGAGATTGCCAGTGGAACCAATTATATCAATGACTTTAGTACTTGTCAGAAAATTTCAGAAGTGTCCTTGGCAAATATAGGAGAGAATATCCATGTGGAACATAAAGCCTTAGAGTGCTCTCCTTCTTGCATGGTTGTGAAAGATGTTCTTTCTTCTGAAGTCCCAGCCATGAAGTATTGTGATGTAATTTGATGACTTCTAAATTAATAAAGCACATTTGAAGTCAGTCCAATTCTTCATTCTTTTTCAACTGAACCAAAATCCATATTATCAGTTTATATATAGGGACCTTAAAATTAATTTATATCCTGGCCTGGTGATGAATAGTTGTGATTCCTGTATTCCAAAAGCTGAAGAAGGAAGGCCATGAGTCCTAGGCCAACCTGGGCTAATAGAGTGACCATATTTCAAAGAGAAAAAAAAATCTACTTATTTAATTTCCATTAAGCATGTAACAGATAAGTTATCCTGGAAGAGTTGCTAAAGGGCTGAAGGCAGGCTTCCTAATTTCTTGTCTCTTTCCTGAAAAGAGGGAGGGATTGTCTGGTGAAGACAAGAGGAGGTGGGGAGGAAGAGAGGAAAGTGTGCGGAAACTGGGAGGCAATCTCTAACTTTAAAAGAGGCCTTTGAGAGATGCCAACTGGCCAAGCTGAACCCTAGTGTGACAGACTAAAGGCATGGAACTCAGAAGGGGTTAACAAAGAAAACAACTATCAGAGTCTGAGCAGGGTGATTGGAACACTTTGTGACAGTGGACAGGAGCATTGACATCTTTGAGGACTTTTTTAAAGGTAGAATTTGCTGAGTGACAGAAAGTTCAGCTTGAAGCTCTCAGCTCCTGCTACCTGTCAAGTTTGTCTGTACCTGCTCAGCATGAGCTAGCCTGTACCCAGGAGAGAGCCTTGGTTCTTATATGTGCCTGTTCCTTTAGGAAAAGAATAGTCCATTCTATCAATCATCAGACAAAGATGGCTAGCTAGCTATGGTATTCCTAGCTGACTTAAATAGTGTCAGGGTTTTAAGTAACAAACATGGGTGGGTTCCATCTCAGAAGAATGGAATTGGAAGTGGAACCTGGGAAATCCTGTTTGTAAAAAGGACCACATGTGATTCTGAGTTTGAGAGATGTTGCACCATAATAAGGGGGCTCAGAATGCACATCTAACTCAAGTCATAACATTCAGATGTCTCTCTGATCTACAGAGATGGTTTTCGCCTTCTGTTTCCTTCTCTGTAGAATGGCCAGCTCACTGGGTCTTCCTCCAGTCAACCTAGGCTATATGAAGTTCCATATGTTGGTTATAGTAGAAACAGACTCAAGGGTTACTTCCTGGATGTGGGGTCTCTAGGCCAGGCCATCATGTTGTCCCTTTTCTACTTCAGAACTGAATGCACTCCAGGAGGAGTTGAAGCCATTAGGCTTGGTTGTGTTGGGCTTTCCCTGCAACCAGTTTGGAAAGCAAGAACCAGGAGAAAACTTAGAGATTCTTCCTGGGCTCAAGTAAGTACCTGCATGAAGCCCATTAGAGGCCTTGTCACCTTTCTGTCCCAAAGGCCTTTCTGGCCCTCTGAACCACCTGAGAGGGTGGTGGTTCAAAGGCTCAGGGACACCTGCAAGCAAATTTTAATTGAGGAGAATCTGACAGGGTTCATAGAGCCTCTCTTCACTCCTGACTGAGACCTGGATGGATGATGGAGAAATTGGAGATCAGCTACTCCTGAGACAGAAGCACTGAAAGGAGTAGAGACAAGCTACAATCAAGAAATATGAAGTGAATCAGAGACCAAATGCAAAACAGGCCTTTGGCTCCTGCATACCACCCCCCACCACCACCACCCCACCAGATCTCTGCCTCTTTCTTCCCTTTATCTGTTTATATCTCAATGTCCTGTCATAGCATTTACCTTTATGTCTCAACCTTTGGCTTGTTGCAGATATGTTCGTCCAGGAGGAGGATATTTACCTAATTTCCAGCTTTTTGCGAAAGGGGATGTAAATGGTGAAAAAGAACAGAAAATCTTCACCTTCTTGAAGGTTAGAGAATTGCTGGAGTCTATATAACTCCTTTCCCCCAATCTTCCTAGCATCACTTGGGGACTTAAAATTTCCATTCATTGATTATGGTAGGAACAGACTCAAGGAATCATTCCTGGAAGTTGGTTGATCTTTCTGGCTGAACTCTCCTGCTTAGCATAGAGATTTGAGCTAGTTTTTAGCATCTGTAGGACTCTGGGTTTGTAAGGAATAGACAGTTGGGTGCACTGGCAGCTTTTACTTGGCTCATTAACATTCATGCCCTCATCCTTCCAAGGTATTTTTTGATGAATGTCTGCCACCTATAGGGTAGGCTATGTAGTAACAACATAGAAAACTCAGAGCCATACAACTGCACGGCTCTTCATGTACAAATGAAGCAGAATAGTGTGGGGAGGGCTCCATTAATTCCATCAATCTATCTTTTAAGATTGGCCTCTATTGGAGGGCCATGGGCCATGTGCAAGTTATTCTTATTGTGATCTTTTTTAAATTAAGTGACAAAATGTGGTTTAGTCTTCTCCTCTTCCTCCTCCTCCTTCGATAAAGTCTTAGTAGCTCTAAGTTGTTCTCCAAAGGAATTTTTGGAAATTCCACTGGTCAGTAGAACCTAGACCTTGGAAAGAATATCCTAGTCCAAATCATCCATTCACTTTGCAGAAAAAGGAAATGAGCCTGCACAATGGTATTTATCTGCCATCCCAGCATGTGGGAGGTGGAGTCATGAGGGTCAGGAATCCAAGATCATCTTCAGATACATATTGAGTTTGAGGCCAGCATGAGTTGAATGAGACCCTGTCTCATAAAACAAACAACAAGAAGAAATGAAAGTTTGAAAGGCAATGCATCTTACCCTATGTGATGTGACTGTGAGAGACAGAATGAGGTAATACACTTAGGCTGTGGTGTCAACACTATTCTTGGTGATTGGCATGATGATGGTTAGGAGAATGTGTGGCATTTATCAGGAACCACAGGAGGCTAAGATGTCTGGGTCCACTGGGAAGGGATTCCCGGTGAGTGAGGATACCCTGGATCATCCAGGAACAGAAATCATGTGTTTTCTTTTTCTCTACTTTTCTGCTGCAGCACTCCTGCCCTCACCCCTCAGAGGTTGTGGTCTCAAACAAACATATCTACTGGGAGCCGATAAAAGTTCATGACATTCGATGGAACTTCGAGAAGTTCCTGGTGGGACCCAATGGAGTCCCTGTCATGCGCTGGTTACACCAAGCTCCTGTCAGCACTGTCAAGGCTGATATCCTGGCATACCTGAAGCAGTTCAAAACCAAGTAGGAAGACGGGTCTTCGGAGCCAACCCTACTTCTCCCTTTAAAGAGCTGTTCTGAAAGCATCCATCTTCTCACCACTCTTTACTTACTGCCCAAGTCACCCCTAACTTGCCTATGTCCCTCCCCTGCACAAAGTGGATTTACGTCTGGAAAGCAGCAGACATTTTTCCTTGTAAGAACCATGAGTCTAAGAACAAAAGAAAAGGGAAGATCTGAACCCAGAGACCCGAGTTTCAGCACTTGACTGGATGCATCAATGTTCACTTGTAACGTCAGCACTCAGCAGGCAGACACAAGAGGGACATGAGTTCCAGGCCAGTCTGAGCTACAAGAGACCTCGTCTCAAAATAAATAATAAATAAATAACAAAAGTCCATTGACAACAACACAACCATACTGAGCCACTTAAATTCATCAAAGGATATGAGAATAGCTTGTTTGGATGTTGTATCTGGAGGAAGAACCTCCTTAGCCATTCTGACTCCTCCTTTTTCCAGCTTGAAGGTGCAGAAATAGTAATGAAGGATGGTAAGATAATCTAGGTTTCTCCCCCTAAAATGTTGGTCTCCTGATACAAATGTGTCATGTGTTCATTCTCGTGTCTTTTTGATCCCGTCTTCATCTTTCACACCATCCCATGGGCACTTCTGAGGCTGATCTGACGGACAGTGGGAGCAGATAGACTCACCCAGGAGGAAGACGTTTCCCTCCCACCAGGGTCCTGAACTCAGCTCTGATTCTACAAAAGTGTTCCTTCCTGTCTGCTCTCCAATGGTTCAGCTGAGTAGTGGTGCCTTTTATCATCTGAAGAATAGGGTTCCCCCCACCAACCTGGAACTCCTCAACTTCAGAACTAGATATATTATTTCCAATAAAATGTTTTCTGAAGCATTCAAGATCTCTGCAGTTCATTCCTAATCAATGCTTTTATTTAAATCACTCCCTCCCTGCTCGAGGTACAAGTGACATCCAGATTATGAACCTCCTTAGAGACAATATTTATCCTCCCAGATGTTTGGAAAGTTGTCACCTGATGGCTTGTGGATGGATGTGATCTTTAGGAATTGCCTCAGGCCAAGTTTGTCCCATGAAGACTTGGCCACAAAGGTTAAGCTGACACCCCATCAGTTCCATGAATTCGTGGGGAGTTTGTTGGTACTTCCTTGCCCTGCAGCCCACTTTTCTCTCTAGTAAAGCCTTCTCTTTACCTTGCTGTATGTTTTAGTCTTCAGTCAGGATGAGCATCAAGTTCAGATTATTCATACCAATGGCAACCCCAAGCCTAGGTGTTGACAATTCACTGTCTTAGTAAATTTTTTTTTCTTGAAATATTGAGTGTCAAACTGGAAGTTGCTCATCATAGGCAGATGTTGTAGGCACTGAGCCACACCCCCCCCCCCAGTAATCCAATAATCAAGGTGAATTAACATCTGACTTTTAATTCTCGCAATCTTCTTTCTAGGAACTCCAATGTGCAATTATCAATATAGGAAAAATGCATATCTAAGGAAGAGAAGCTAATGTGATTTTTTTAGGTTAAATTGTCCACCACTTGATTATTAGAAAATGAATGTAGCACAAATAGTTACTGACACAAAGTAACTGTGATAATTGAGACTTCCTTCCAACCTGAGTGGTACAGCTTACCATAGAGGGATACCCTCTAATTGTATGCTGGTACTGAAAGCTGTGGATGGTAGTAGAATGGCTATTGCGGAAGTTAATCAACATTTTGGAGAGACACAGTGAACAGTTGTGGTGATACATCATAAGACAAAGGCTAATGTGAAACCATGCCTCCTGGATTCTTTAAAGAAAATCTCAGGCCCAATGTGTTGGTGTATATTTGTAATCCCAGTATTGAGACAGGGAAGTTACCCAGTCAAGGTCAACCTGAACCACAGAGTGAGAACCTGTCTAAAAATAAATGAGAGAGAGAGGGAGAGAGAGAGAGAGAGAGAGATCCAGTGGGAGAGAAACAATAGCAACAACATCTCTCAGTTCTGCTGCTCTAGGGTACAAGAGAAGTAAGTTAAATTCTACATGTAGACTGTGCTGCCTCTGTGCCAGGTGGAGATGCTGTCTGGGAAAGGACAGATCATCCAGACACCAGATGCTTTGATGCATCAGCGTATCCGGCGTCCATAAAACGGAAGTCCCTGGATGCAGGCTTACTCACAGATCAAGCATCGTTAGGAAACCTCTTGTAGGAACAGGGACAGATCAGAACTATAGCAAACATGGCCAGGGCTGGTGTGAGAGAGCAGAAACAAGAAGTCAGGAGGTGAGAAAGTGAGGCACGTTAGAGGGCATGTAACAAGCAATGCTGGTGACCCAATGCGAATATGGTTTACAGCAATGCTGACAAATTTTCAGTCTGCTAGGAAACAGTCTTTTCTAGAAATGGCTGCATAAACAACACTAGAACAGTTGGCAATATCGATGGGCTTGTAAACATGGAAAGAAAGGAAAATCTGAGGGTCCCGCCTGTAAACAAAGAACTACAGGCAACAAGTGACTGCTGGGAGGAGAATTAGCCTCTCCCAGGGATAAGCCCTCTTATTAATGATTCACAGAGTGATCAGTCTTGAAACAATATACATAAACAAAAATGGACTGAACAGGTTACACACACACACACACACACACACACACACGTAACAACAATGGTCAAGGAATTTATATGTAACAATAAAAAGAAGAAGAGGATATCAACTTGAGTGTGGAAATGGAAACAGGAGAGTCAAAAGATGGTAGCTAAGAGGGACTGGAGGAAGTGGGAAAAATCAGTATAATTCTATTTTAATTGAAGCATATTAAAGAAAACATAAGAAAATGCCTCCACAGCATTGTCCTGTGTATTTGGGACATTTTCTTCCTTCCTTCCTTTCTTTTTATCTTTTCTTTTGTTTGTTTCTTGGGGGAGGGGTTGAAGATGATTGTTGTATGTTCCTATAAATAAGGGGTGGAGGCAGAGAAAAATCAAGAATTCAAGATCATCCTTGGCTACATAAAGAGTGTGACAGCAGTATGTCTACAAGGTCCCTGTCTCAGGGCAGGGGAAGGGAAATGACAAATAATCCAATTTATTTCATCACTTAAATCTATTCATAATTAGCGTGATGCAATTTAATTCACTGCGTTGTTCTAATGTGCCCATTTCCCTCTATGCGAACTCATCTGTTAGGATCAGTGTCCTTTTGCAGAAGCCTTTTGTCCTCTTGGTGTCTGTCCTCTAACATTTTTAAATGTCTGTTCTCTGACTTCTCAGGTATTTTGGGTGCTCAGGCTTGTCTTCGCATCCACCTGATTAATGTGGATGATCCAACTCCTTTGAAGTGTGAGAAATTTTTCTTTCAAATGGGACTATCTTTAAATGAACTTGAAAAAGTGGATTCCCAAGGATCATAAACGTTATACACTTACACAGTATTGACAGGTGTGTGGCCACTGCAACCCCAACACACCCTTCAAGGACCAGGATATGATTTAAACTTGTAGCCTCCCATCCTGTTCCAGTCGTGACCACCACAGCCCACAGTGCGCACAAACCAGCTCTGCTGGTCGCCAGAGAGATTGCTCCAGTACACTTTATTTGTAAATTGGCGGGACTGGTACTTCCAAGACTTCTTAAGCAAGCTATCACTTAAGTTAGAAAGATAGAGTAAAGCTTCAGGAAGTGAAAAAAGTACCAACCACGAAGGGATTCGAACCCTCAATCTTCTGATCCGAAGTCAGACGCCTTATCCATTAGGCCACGTGGTCCTGTGACAAGTAAAGATGAAAAAGTATAACAAATGTCTAGAATGTGAGCAGTTAGCTGCCTAAATCTTTTGGCTATAGTTCAACAGTACACTTTCTGTGAACATTATTCCAAATAACATCCAAGTCACTTCTTGGATATAGAACAGTAACAAGCAAAATGCAGATCTCCCACCCTTAATCCAGGCACTCTAGAAGCAGAGACGGGCGGATTTCTGGGAATTGGAACCATCTCGTCAACATAGTGAATTTCAAGACAGCCAGCGCTACAAAGAGACCCTGTCTCAAAACAAACAAACACAAAAAAACAGCAACAACCAAAGAAGAAAAAAGAAAGAAAGAAAGAAAGAAAGAAAGCATATATCCCAATGTTCTCCAAACGCCCAAAAGTGAGTCTCTCGACTGATAAGGGTTTTAATAAAAAAACCAAAAAGGAAAGAATTCATCGTCCCTCCATAATCCTTGCTACTCGCGGTTGGCCAGTTTAGTCAGGTCTGAAATCCTCTAGTAATAAATGATAATTCTGTAACGCCCACAATGCGTTCATTTACAGTGCTGTGTATTCTCCAGTGTGACCTTTGCAGAGTGAGTACAGTATAATGGTTGATTGATTGCCAAGGAATTATCCTGATTGTCTTAATTGATGTGGGAAAACTCACTCACTCCAAGTGTGGATCGTACTTCTGGTAGCAGCACTAACTTAAAGACAAAAACAAATCAAATCTACATGGTAGAAGGAAGTTTATTCGACTTGGCTGGTTTGGATTAGTGTTTTCCGAGCATCTATTGCTGATTTAGGACTAAGAATCCCCTAGGTTTGCAGCGCCAGATTGTGACTGCTGAGGTTCCCAGCCCGCTGGGCTCTCCTCTGCTAGACTGCCACTGTGGGACTGCACCATCGTGGATGTACCCAGCTTCCAAGCTGACATGCATACATACAAACACACACACACACACCCTATCCGTTCTGATCATTAGAGAAATCTAATACAGGCCCTGGTCTTGTACTTCCAGCCACTTGTACTTTCGAAGGTTACAGCTGCCAAATTGCACCAGGAAACAGCTGTGGTTTCCTTCCCCAGCCAGGCTGAGTCCCACTCCTGCTGGACTCATTTCCCCAGCTTTGGAAGTGTGGAAGAAACTCGATTTTCTGAAAAGCTCGGCCAATCCTCTGGCTCTTCTGTTTCTTTCTCCTCGGTTCTAGGAAAGCAAAGTCCAACACCCTCAGAACGTGGGCCGCCT